GGGGGGGGCGGGGGGAAGGGCGCTGTCTGCAGGGAGGGCCCGGAGCCTTACCTGGGCCCAGGTACTGCGCGCGCCACGCTGGCCAGAGAGGCGATTGCCCTCCGGGTTGAAGAGTGGGACGAGAAACGTCTCCACGCCCATCCCTTCCTGCTCTGGCCAAGTCTAAATAGCTCCCCTGGCGTGGGGTGCTTGCTTAGAAATGCGGGTCCTGCTGCCCAGGATGGTGAAGAACGTAGGAAAAGGTGCCCAAGGGCACAAATCGCGAGTCAGGAGGAAGCACCCCAAAAACAAAGTTACCCGCCGTCAGAAGTCACTTCTAGTCCCGTGACAAACTAATACATTTTAATTTATTTCTGTTTTCCCAAGACAGGGTCTGGCTACATATCCCAGGCTGCCTTGAACTCACCTTGTACTGTACAGCCGAGGCGGGCCTTGAACTCACAGCCATCCTGCCTCAGCTTCCCAAGTGTTGGGATTACAAGCCTGGGCCACCACCCCCGGCTAAATTAATGCATTTTAAGATACAAAAAGGAAACTGAACGTAACATATGAAGTTCTTTGCTGCTTCAGATGCCAATGACATTAAAGTGTGTGTCTCTTGGCCTCGTGCTTTGGGCAAGAGGAAGGTCGTAGCCTGACCAGGACTCTGTCAGTCACAACTCAACAGCATTATTTTCTCCACGTCCAGATGAGGAAACAGAGGCACAGGGGCTTGCCTATTTACTTCTCCTGGGAAAGGTACGCAGTGTTAAGGGTGCAAATGTGCTAAAACAAGAAGCCCACACTAGCAGGTGTGCCTGCCCCGCAGCTGGGAGTCGTGTGTGTCTAGTGCCCATGCTCACCCTTGCAGGTAGGGCTTTTCCAAGTGCAGCTCTGGGGGCCACCTGTACAGGGCCTGCAGGAGCCAGTTGTCACAGGGAGAGGGTGGCCCAGCTTGTGGTTAGTGGCAGAGGAGAAGGGGTGGTGAGCCCCAGAGGGGGCGGGAGTTCAGTACTGAGCCCAGGTACTTCCCTCTGCCTCAGGCCGCCCTGTCTGCAAAGTGCGGTAGGCGTCCAGATGCGGATGGTTGGGACGTAAGTGACAAGAGGAGCAGAAGCTGTCCTCCTCACCTGCTCCCGAGTGCCAGGCAGCATCAGTAGGGTGGGCAGAGACAGTCTCCCCACACACACCCTGTCCTTGGCTCCCCAGGCCCCGGCAGCCTAGTGCCTGGCCTGCGTGTGGCCACTAGAGGGTGCATGCTGCATCAGGGCCTCCGAGCTGTGGCCTGGGGACTCCTAGGCTCCCGGACAGCCGGCCACAAATGCGGCTCCAGTGTGGAATGGATGTATGGAAGGAGGAGGGGAGGGCCCCACCACTCATCACCAAGTAATTCTGCCCCTCTGTGCCGGCTGCCCAGCTCTGTGCCTGCCCCGGAGCCTAGCACCACCTTGCCACCCTCCCAGCGTCACTACCAAGAGCTTGCGCCTCCTTGACCCTTTTCTTTGGCTTTTTGAGACAGGGTCTGGCTATGCAGTTCAGGCTGGCCTTGAGCTCACTTTGTAGCCCAGGCTGGTCATGAACTCGCAACGATCCTCCTGCCTCAGCCTCCCAAGTGCTGGGATTACAGGCGTGCGCCACCACGCCCGGCCTCGTGACTCATTTTTTAAGAGGATGCAGAGGTCAAGCACAGTCATTTCAGCCAGCCGCCTTGCCGGTAGGTGAAACTTGAACCCAGGGCCACTCAAGGTAAGTGTGAATCTTAGCACCTGGTCCTTGGCCCTGGAGAAGCGTCCATGCCGACTGGGAAGGTAAGGACACAGAACATGAAGCAGCAGAAATTATGCCAGGCAGAGCTTGCTTCCGGGTGGCAGGAAGGGGCAGGGTCAGGGGCTACTGCGTACAAACACAGACACCATGACCACCTCTTGTCACCACGGCTCTTTTATTTTTCATTTTATTTTAAGACAAGGTTGCTTCAAGTTTCCTAGGTTGAGCTTGAACTTGCCATTGACCTGCCTCAGCCTCCCAGAGTCTGGGATTACAGGCGTGCTTTACCATACCCAGCTCATGACAAGGTCTGGATGGTGGGGGTAGGGGGGTAGCCAACACACTGTCTTTCAAGAAGTACAGGGACAAAGGACGGCAAGCACAAGGTGGGCGTGCCTGATACATTCCAGGACGTCAGAAAAGCAACCGGGTGGAGAATTACCAAGGGGGCAGACTGTAGTGTCACACAGGCCATTGTTGGGTCTTTGGGCTGTATTCTGAGTCTCTAAGGAACCCGTGTTCTGAGCCAGAGAGAGACAGGACCCGCCTCTGCTCGTTGCCGTCCTTGGTTGTTGCAGTCTTGGACTCGAACTCAGGGCCTGGTGCGGGATGGGCTCAGGCTCCAGCGCCTACCTGCACCCAGAGCAGTCTCTGCTTTAACAGGCTCCCCCTAACGGCCGCGCGGGGAACAGCACGCAGGAGGTCGCCGTTGTGGACTAAGGTGGAATTAGCAGAGGCTGGAGAGCTGCAGTGAAGCCTTGGACTTACTATCCATCGCCAAGAGACAAGCTTCACGCTGGCGCACGCCTGTAACCGAAGCACTTGGGAGGCTGAGAAAGGAGAATGGCTGAGAGTTTGAGGCCCGCCTGGGCTACATAGTGAGTTCAAGACTAAGCTGAATTACATAGTGAGACTCTGCCTCAAAAAAAAAAATGTCACAAATACACACAATAAAATTTCCCCAACATCCTCCTGCCTCAGCCTCCTGTTTGCTGGGATTACAGGTGTGCACACGAGTTCAACTCCATTTTAAATATTACAGCTAATCCAGGTATTTTAGGGAATCAAATACAAAATTCCTATGCATTTTTTGCTTGTTTTTGTTTTGTTTATTTTCTGATTTTTTGAGACAGGGTCTCGCTAAGTATTTCCAGCTAGCCTCAAACTCTTAGCCACCCTCCTGCCTCAGCCTCCTGAGTGTTGATTACGGGAGTGCACCAACATGCCTAGCTTCATATGAGTTTCTGGACAGATAGGGGAGGCTACTGAAGAATGCCATGGTCAAGCTGGGCATGGTGGTGCACATCTATAATCTCAGCCACCCAGGAGGCTGAGGCAGGAGGATCAAAAGTTTGAGGCAGCCTGGGTAATTTAGCAAGACCCTCTCTCAAAATAATATTTTTTAAAGGGCTGGGGGGGTGTAGCTCAGTGGTAGAGCACTTGCTTAGTATGTACAAGGTCCCGGTTTAGTCTTCAGTATGACACACCACATTCCACACACACATACACACACAGTGACAGTCAGTGTGATCAGCCTCCGTCCCAGCCCCTTTTGGAGGAGGCTCTTTCTCCCAGGCCTCAGGGGATGGTTTGGGGAACTGGGCATTCAGTGCCCCTCCACGCTGCCTGAGGGCGACCTCGACCCTCCAGTGGATCCCTGACTCATACAGCAGGGCCTCCCGGCCTGGCTGGCTGAGGTCCCCATTTTCCTTCCCTTTTCTACTCTATGGACCCAAACAGGAAAGGGCCTGCTCCTGAATGCCTGGGGATCCCTCATACCCCGCCCCTGCAGGAGCCCCCATCTGCCCAGAATGTCCGGCCTCCTTTGCTGAACGTTTCTTCCTCCCTGCAGCCAGGACCCGGACGGAGACTCCCACCCTCACTGCCGCCGCAGCATCCTTCATCCCTCCTTCCTCCTTCCTGGGGCTGGAAAGAGTGGTCGCACCCATCCAAGACACTCCCCGGGCGTGGTGGTGCACGCCTGTAATCCCAGCACTCAGGAGGCTGAGGCAGGAGATCGCTGTGAGTTCCAACCCAGCCTGAGCTACATAGTGAGACCCCCATCTTTGAAAAATTAAAAAAAAAGAGCCTGGGGATTTAGCTCAGCCGCACAGTACCTGCTTGGCAAGCGTGAGGTCGTGAGTTTGATTCCCGGTACTGGAAAAAAAAA